CTTTTTTGTTGGTGTTTTGTTGTTTGTTGTTGTTTTTTTTTTTAATTAGGCTGAAATAGTAAACATACCACAAAAGTAGATCTATGTCTGTTGATTTTTTTCTTCAGAAAAGCATACTCAACTCCATATACATTATATTTTCAATGCAGCACAGTGTATTTTTTGATTGTAAAATACTGCTTGAAAACAGGTAATCTGAATAATAGTCTCAAATATTTAAATACACATGCATATGCATATGTGTATGTGTATGTATACATACATATACAATCATTAAGTTAATGTTATGTTCTGCTAAAGGAAAAGGATTTCGGAAACAATCTGACTAGCAGATTAAAACTCCTATCCAAGAGACATACTTCACTACAGTCCCATGGGTCAAAACCAGCTAGGTAAATTCCTCATACCAATAGGGCCACAGACTGGAGAAAAAAAAAAAAAAAAATGTAACCCCACATATTTAATTTCAGATTTCAAACCACAGTACACCACAGACTAAGAATGATGCCCATTTCACCAATGAATTTATTTTAAGTATAGTCAGTTCTGCCACGAAATTATTTCTCTTCTCCAATAATTTCTTTTTGGATATATATTTCCAGCTGTTTACATTCACCCCTACACATCAGTTATCTCCAACTGAAACCCATGGGAAGTTCAACTGAGCGTTGTGATTCCCAATAAGACATAGTAGGTCATCAGGTCTCAAACCGGTGAAATTTTGATTTTCAACAAGTGTCTTTACATAATGTAAGGCAGATTCTATGTGAATTTAAATCACTGAAGGTGTAATAGCTCCAGCAGGTCTATGCTTTACGCCCGTTAAAGATCTCTAAATAGATTTATGGAGAAAGCTCCTTTTTTATTGCTTAGTATTATTTCTACATGGAATGTCTATTTCTTTCCTGAAAGCCTTCCCTTCGGTATAAGGAACCACTACCCTCTCTTCATTTTATTAATTCTTGTCTTGAAATGAAAAGCTGAGCAGTTTTTATACAAGGTTTTTGTGTAGGTTTAAAAAAAACCCAACAAAACACAAAACCCCCAAACAAAACAACAAACCCCAAAGAACCTGTCAAGTGTTTCCACATCTTTCTCACTTATTTTTATATACATATACATATTTTTTTTTCCTCTGACTCCACTTGGAACACTTCTATAACTTCATCTGAAATTTACTCAGGTGGTAATGTATTTATTCTACATTTAATCTATGCCTTGTCTTCATCCATAATTTAAAAAAATGAAGAATAAAAATCCTCTTTTCTATGAAAGGGATTCAGAATCTTTGAGGAGATTTATAAAGCACTTCGAGATGGTTTTGCATAAAAAGGTGCCACTGTATATTACATGCATTTAAAGTGGTTTAATATTCCACTCCAAATAGAAGAGAATGTTTTGTATTCTCAATATCTATTTTGCACATAAAAATTAAATACATCTTGGAATAAACAAATTTACTCAGTGTAAAGGGATTTGCAAGTACTAGATGCTATAGATTTTACAGCAGCTCTTCAACCATGCAGGAGTACCTGATACCAGAGAATGGTTTTGAGAGGCTCTGGAAGAATGGTGTGGACATGCAGATGGCATGACACACTAGTTTTCCATGATAAGGGAAAAATATTAAGTCATTTTGAAAAATATATTAATATATTCCAAACATACTAATGTTAACATTAAGCCATTGTTCTGGTTGAACACAGATAAAACTGCACAAAATTACTTTTGATCTGCTTTAAATTGCACAGAAGACTGATCACTTTTAAAGTAAGAAACAAGCATTTCTTGAACACAAGAATCTCAAAGCTTAAATAATTCAGCAGAGCCGTTCACATTCATTCATACATTATGAATGAATGCTCGGTTTTAGTTTACTCCTTACACACACAGCTTTATGCTAATAATTATTATCTTTTTTTTTTTAAGATTTTAACAGCTGAAGTGGGAACAGCCTATACCTTGTTAGAATGATGGTTTTAATTTGACTGCTTTGGACAAGATACTAAAGCCACAGTAGTTACTACTTTGAATTTGTTCCTCTGTGGTCATAATTTACAATTTAAAGTTTTGGATGCTGTAGGATGACTTGTCTGTGGAGAATGGAGTAAAACAGGGTGGTTAAATCTAGAAGCAACTTCTCCGTCTTCTGATCTCCTTTAGTATTGGTGGTACATACTTTTCCTACAAAATATTCACATTTAAGTGCCAAGACATTCTAATTCAGAACAGAATTCTGACCAAGAAATTGATTACAAGAACATGAAGTAGGTTTCACTGGGGTAAAGAAAGTATCCTGCTCTACATAAACTTTGATGGCTGACAGCAAAAGATAAGGCTAACATCCAAATAAATAACTCCCAATGCTAACTTCATTTCAAATTCTTTATGCCCAAATGCAGGGCTTCATCTTGGAGATGCTGAAATCTTTCAAGCAGCTTCAGCTGCTCAATACCACTATAACAATAGGACAGCCCAGGAATTGCTGCTTCTAATTATTTTCCTAATCATTCAGCTGGAACAGGTCTTCCTATTTGGCTCAGAATTAAGTTTGCAGGAGCTTAGAAAACAGGATGTACCACACAATTACAGTCATACCATCATATCATTTTCGGTATAGCTTAGTCCATCTTATCCGGGGACTCCTTTAAGGCAACTTCTACCCTTGCACTCAACAACTTGAACACAGGAAACAATGTTTTTCTACATTGGGATGTGGTAAGATGACCCTCCAGATTCCACAATTGCACTTGAGACTCTTTTAGAAGATACCCACTTTCAGAAGATGACTATGAAAGAAAGTTAGCCATGGAGAGTTCTTCTTGCTTACCTGACTGCTCTTCCATCCCTTGCCAAGATCCCCCTCATCCTCAAGATGACACGTTCTAGCTAGGGAGACCTTGGCAAAGATTTGATGGTACTCACCAATGTGAATCAAAATGGGCTTGAGCTGCCCATAACTAAAGGTAAATGCAGCTGACAGTAGAAGTTGAACTTAAAAAGTAATACTAGGGTCACATGGAGAATAATCTGGACAGATGGAGCACCCAAGGAAGAATTCAGAACTGACACAAAGTCAGTTGTAGAGTTAGTACTCTACTTTGCCATGGCCTGATAATTAAAAACACTAGTGTAAATCTTTGAAGTATCAAGGCCATGAAGATTTTTGATTTCTGCAGGTGAAAGTAAAATCCAGCCCACTAAAATTATGTTGCATGACATTTTTTCTTACCAAAAAATGATAGACATTGCATACTCATGTATGCTTGACACTAAAATCAGAGGTTACTTTAACAATCCCTCATTAAATGCTAAATGAGATTGGGGGTTTTTGCCTATAGTGTCACAAAAAGAGTAGAGTGGGAGTTCAGTGAATACTTTGTTGCTTTTTTATAATGACATTTCCAAATAATTTAAATGTGCTCTCCTGGTACTAACAAAACTGGACTTGAACCTAAGCTCTTCAGCTTGACATGATTTAAAATTAATAAATTTAAAATTTAAAATAGTCATATTGAGAAGTCAGACTCCTGAATGTCCTTATAACAAGTTGATTGTACAAGTCACATATTTATCTTCCTTTGAGGGGTCAGAAAACGAAAGATAGCAACGATTTTAACTGCCTACTTGATAGTCAATCACTACCTCTGAATTTATCATATTTCATCCAAGGATGTTACAGTAAAAATTTTAGGGAGGTCATTCACCTCCATGTGCAAAAACCCAAATAGGAATGGAAGTTCATAAAGGACTTAATACTGTAAAGCCAACAAGTCCTTATTCCCATAAGCAGAATGCAAATAACATCAGTTAATGCAACTTGAGATTTGCAGGCTCAGACTTCATACTAGTTTTCTATACAGCTGGCTCCACTTTACAACAATAATCCTTGAAGACTGTTGTCATAAGTATTACAGTATCTAATCCTCTTCAAAAATTAAAAGATTTTGAACTTAAACATTCTTTTGTTCCAATAACCATAATAGCAAAAATACATGTTCCCAGGAGGTTACTAGAATCTGTTGCTTTTCTCAAACCACAAACTGCATTTGAGTAACGAACTACTAAACTCTTAAAAGATAACAGTGATAGGACACTGAAGAAAAGCGACTACTCTTTAAACACAACTGGAACTTATTTGTCCATTGCATGCCACTTACATTACTGCTATTTCTTTTTTTTGATGCACAAAAATACCAAGATCATTAAGTGTCAGCTATTAAAACAAATCACTGAACAGTATTTGTTAATTTAGGACTGTGTTTAATTTCAAATAGAAAACATGCTTTTTAAATAAATTATTCAATAATAGGAACCCAGTATCATGAAATGAAAGCAAAAATCAAGTATCGTACATTTTTAATCCTGTACATATATTATATATTGTTTTCTCATATTTTAGGTATTCATTTCTAGATTGAAAATCATTAGATTGTTTCCTTGATAAATTGAAACTTTAAAAGCCAATATACCTGTGAAAGCAATTTGCATTACTTTAAAAAGAGACAAATGAATACAACATATGTACAGACCTGTGGAATTCAATCTATAAAGTACATACATTAAACCAAACTGTCCCTGCATATTTAACTACAGATCTATTTTGGCAATGTGGAGGTATATCTTTTATCCTGTTGCAAGTCCTAACATTTAAGTAGGAAGCTTCAATATTTGCATTCTTCATGAAAGTAGCAAATGTTAACCGAAGAGCAACTGGATTTTCAAAAAAATTTGCATCACGACGAACAAGTAGTACAGTGAAGTTAGTAAGTATTTTTAATGGCATTCACATTTTTTTTTAAAAGTCTCTGAAATGGACCTGTACATCACTTTTATTGACAGAACATAAATATAAGAAAAAGATCTCTAAAAAGATCACAATTTTTCCCAAACATAAAGTGCTAAGATGTGTATGGTAGTAAGAAGTTTTAAGAAGTTTCCTTTTTTTTTTTTTTCTTTTTTCTTTTTTCCTTGATTGAGCAAAGAAAGTTAACACAAAGGTTAACCACAAATTCATCTGAAATCTTTTAAAAATGCCATGGGTTCTTGAGCTTCAGCATTCAGATGTTTTAGAAGATTCAGGTTGCTCTTCTAAGTTCATTTGCAGTTCATTTTGACATTCTGTTGTCTCACCTTTGACAGCTAAATGGATAACTTTTAGCCATTTCTGTTTTAGTTCCTCATTGTCCGCAGCAAAGCTATGCACAGACTTAGACTGGGTCAGTTTGAAGCTGTGCGGGAGGTCAGCACTTCTTGGAGTGTCATCTACCGTATAGCCCAGAAGTGGAATTGTAGCCAGAGCTTTAACATCCTAAAAAGAAGGAGAAGGTCTTGATTAAGAACAGTCAACTAATCTGCCTGCTACCTCTCATTTACTATACAGGTTGGTGAAAACACTTGGATCTTTCCTCCATTCCAAGCTATTTGGCTTCTCTTCCTCAGATGTCAGCGACAATAATTACTAAAATCTTTTCTGTTTTCTCTGCACGTACCTGTGGAGCACCGTACATGTACAACACAAGAGCTTCCTGTTTAGGTATAACACACCATGCTTTCTGCCAGGGCTTTGATTTTTCCATGTACTGAAGAAAGCTACATATAACGCTATTTCCAGAGACTTCCGCAGATTCAATCTAGGAGATAGTATAAAGCATAAAAAGGAGCTTTTTCTTAAATAAAGACTAAAAACATACAGAACAGAAAAGCAGAAATTCATCCCCATTCACATTAAATCTTGGATAGCATGTGCAAAAGAGCTTGAGCAAATACCCAAGTAAGATCATGGAGGACTGGATTTCTGAAGAATATTTATATATTACATACATACAATTACAACGTGTACTCCCTTAACGTGTAATCTGTTCATTCTTTCATCAGTAATTCTGGATTATACACTTTTAGATCTCTAAATTTCATTTTGCCACCACAGCTAGCCTTTCTCTGTATCTTGGTATCTACAATGTCTGATTTCTAAGATAACATCATGTTTGTCATTGAAGTGCTGCTAACTATCCAATATGACAACTATTCTATTTTGGCAGTCAAAATACGATGACAGGATCAGATGCAAACACATTCCTAAGAATAACATGAGAACGCAAGCACTAATCCTAGAGAAAAGATTAGGTGAATTGCTTAAAATCTGGAGACAAAGTGACATGCTACTCGGGTTAAATAGTGATCCTGAGATCAGAAAGAACACAAAATGTTTTCGTGTTAAAATTTCCTTGAATCGATTTTTTCCCCTCCCAGTAGTGATGCTGTCCGGATGCTGCAACATGGTACCAACCACCCCGTTTTCATGAGATCCCATGTGCAGACAGACATTTCTGAGAGACTCCATAGCTCCTTCAGCTACCTGAAAAAAGCCACCATGCCAAAAAACTCTAAGGTAAGCTAGTGGAATTCTGTCCTCCTTAGTCTTTCTCATTTAAGAGAGTCTGGTCAAATGTAGTCAAGCCAACATGGATTAAGAGATGTATATGGAATTACAATCTGTATCTTATTTTTGCTGCCTTTTTCTGTTGGTATTTATCTCAAGGGTCAAATCCTTCTCTGCTGCATCCCAAGATAAATATATGTCTTGACTAAGTTAGGATGGTATTTCTCTAATGTATGTCAGGCATTTAAAAAAGGCCTATAAAGGAGGATTTAAGAAACGTGAAGGTTAATTGCAATTCTAAGATACCTATTTCTCCCTTGATAAAAGAAACATGGCTTCTTATTGAGACCTTGACTTTTTAGCTGTCAAAAGCTGAGAGCAACTTGATGACTTAAAAGTACGTTGCACACTCTGATCAAAACAGTGTCTTACTACTCAGACTCTAAATAGCAAAATACTTCCCCATTCCCCTCTCCTCCATCCCCAGTTCTTTCAGTTTGGCTATATGCTTTCAAGAATCATTGTAGTAGCAGCGGGTTTTGTTGCTATGACAGCTTAAGCGCAGAAGAAAACTGAAGGTTAATAAGGAAAGGTAATGTTTTATCACACTATCTGATGTAACTGGGAAGAAGCAAACAAGTTCTAAGATTCATAATTCCCCCTTTAAAAGAAAGTTGTAAGAAACAAAGTAGTATTGTGAAAGATGAATAGCGAAAACCAAAATTTGCTGGGAGAGATTAATTTGGTCCACATACTTTTTATTTCTCAGCTAGAAAATAGCCCTGCAAGAATGCTACCATTTTTCACCTACTGATGAGCCAAAACCATTTGCAACTATGCACATACAGTATTTTTAAATGACATACCTCCAAGATGCCTTTCTTCTTCTTTTCTTCACTGTCTGTACAACCAATTATAACATGATAGCAGTCCTTACAGACTTTGTTCAATTTATTGCCATCATATTCGAGGTGTGCCTTGTAGTCAGAACATTTCCAGCAAACCACCTTAGAAACAAAAACATACATATAAAATTTAAGTATTGATAACAGTTTATGAAACTAGAATTTAATTAAAAATTACTATTTTTTATCTACTTAGTAATATATTGTTTAAGTATACAGAACAAGAAAGATAATACATACCTTTATGACATGTCAACAATAACTTAATTGAAAATAATGATTTTCCAAATTTGTGCCACTGCTTCTTAACTAGAAGTGCTTTTTACTGTTTACCTGGTGGAACTTTGTACATTGCATAAAATCACATTAGGCTCTTAATTATATCTGTAGGTTAAAGTTAGGAATAGAATCAGAATATAGCACAAGCCATGCTGCAGGAAGAAAATCCTGCACTTTTTAGATGCTAACATAAAAAGGTACACTTACTATTTTGTTTTCTACATAACCTCAGAAACGTACAACTGACATGACCTTTAATGATAAAAAAATGTAATAAAATCAGAAATGGCTAATTTTTTAACCTGCTAATAAATATTAAATTTCCGGTTTTAGAGTCTGTTCATAAGTACCCACAATAATTAAGCCAGTATCAACTTGGTTTTTCTTTCCACAATATATATGTATGTAATTGAAATGAAAGAGAGATCTGAGGGAAGTTCTTTCATTAGAAATGTTTTTCCACAGAAATGTTCTTTCAAGTGAAAAAGATTCCCTGATTAAAAAAATATGAGTGTAGTTATTTTGAGAAATAAAGCTAGACAAATGGACTTGAACCAAACACCTGAACAAAATTTTATTGTGGACCAGGGCTCTGCAGTGCTAATCTAGATGACTGCCTTCAACTAGTATCTCTAGAGAACAGTCACTGCTGCAAAGACACCATTGCTGACCCAAATTAGTTCCCATGAAAAAATGTTTTTAAGTTAGAGTGCAAGGAGATGTGATAGAACTACCACGGAGGGAAGTAGTTGGAGTCTAAACAAAAGGGGGAAATAAAAAGGAAGGGTGTAATCTTAAGATTAACACAGGAATTTTAAACCAGAATGATCTGGAAAAAAAAAAAAAACAGATGACAACTGTACAATCAGTAATTCAGAGATTCTAAAAAAAAGCCTCTAGTGTCCTGCAAACCACAAAAGTAGCGCAGAGGATGCAGTAAGCCTTCATACCACATAAAAACATTAGAAAGAAATCATGCAAGATTTCTGATCTGTAAGACATAAATTAAACCTGGGCTTGCACTACCATCTGCTGGAGAAAGGCAGAGCTGCTGGATGGCAAGAAAAGAAGGCACAGTATGTTTGCTCTTCGTTTGTCAACTTGTGAGAACTCTCAAGTCATACCACTATTCCATGGTTGCTTTAAAGTGGCATACATTACCGTAGCACCATACATGGAGAGCAGCAGCCATACTCTCTCCCCACCCTAACCTTCTGTCCTTCCCATGATGCCTCAGGAATGTTCACAGAGTTACACACTGAACCCAGCTGGGAACAGCTCCAAGTTAAGCCAAGAAAAACTGCAGGGCTTTATGATCTTCTTGCAAAAAGGAGAGAGGAGGAAGCAGAATGGGAGAAGGAGGCAGCCAGTGCTACCAGGGATAACGCTGGCTTACGCCAGTTTAATGTGGTCTTGAAACTGTTGACAACAGTGGAGGGCACTCCGAAGTAACAGTACAGTGTGTGTAGGGGCTTTTACACAAATGTGCATCCTCCACTTCCAAGTTTACCATGCCAGCTAAAGCAGACAGAGGACCCTTTGCGGTGGGCTACACACAGCTTCTGCTTTCAGCCACAAGGGCAGCAACTGGCTCTGCAGCGTAACAGGCAGCCACCAGAAGTTAAGTAGGTGCTTAGACCTTGTAAAGGGTTTGCCTGGCAAGGCTTTTGTAGCAGGGGGATTACAGGGGTGGCTTCTGTGAGAAGCTGCTAGAAGTTTCCCCTATGTCCCATATAGCTGATGCCAGCGAGCTTTAAGATGAAGCTGTCACTAGTGAAGGCCGAGCCAATCAGCGACAGTGGTAGCGCCTCTGGGATAACGTGTTTAAGAAAGGGAAAAAAGTTACTGCACAGCAGTAATTGCAGCCAGAGAGAGGAGTGAGAATATGTGAGAGAAACAACTCTGCAGACACCAAAGTCAGTGAAGAAGGAGAGGGAGGAGATGCTCCAGGCACCAGAGCAGCAATTCCCCTGCAGCCTGTGGTGAAGACCATGGTGAGGCAGGCTGTCCCCCTGCAGCCCATGGAGGTTAACGGTGGAGCAGATCCACCTGCCCATGGAGGACCCCACACTGGTGGATGCCCAAAGGAGGCTGCAACCCTGTGGGAAGCCCGCGCTGGAGCAGGATCCTGGCAGCACTCATGGAGAGAGGAGCCCACACTGGAGCAGGTTTGGTGGCAGGACTTGTGACCCTGTGGGGCACTCACGCTGGAGCAGTTGGTTCCTGAAGGACTGCACCCTAGGAATGGACCCATGCTGGAGCAGTTCATGAAGAACTGTAGCCCACGGGAAGGACGCACACTGGAGAAGTCATGGAGAACTGTTTACCATATGAGGGACCCCACAATGGAGCAGGGGAACAGAGTGGGGAGTCCTCCCACTGAGGAGGAAGGAGCGGCAGAAACAACATGTGATGAACTGACCCCAACCCCCATTCCTTGTCCCCCCCGTGCCACTTGGAGGGAGGAGGTAGAGAAATCAGGAATAACGTTAAGCCTGGGAAAGAAGGGAGGAGTCGGGGGAAGGTGTTTTAAGATTTGGTTTTATTTCTCATTACTCCTCTCTGATTTGATTTGGTAATAAATTATGGTTTTTTCCCCTAAGTGGAGTCTGTTTTGCCCGTGATAGTAATTGCTGAGTGATCTCCCTGTCCTTATCTCGTCCCACGAACCTGTGGTTGTATTTTCTCTCCCCTGTCCAGCTGTGGAGGAGGGGGTAGTGATAGAGTGGCTTTTGGTGGGCATCTGGCATCCAGCCAGGGTCAACCCACCACTGACCCGTTCCCAAGCCTGCTCACCAGCTACAGCAGCCAGCGTTTTGCACTTACATGTCCACATGCTCGGCAGTGGTGCCTTCTCCTTGTCAGTGCATTAAAGGGCTCCTTGCATTTCATGCACATGGTTACTTCGTTGTCTCGTATCCACCTTGGTGCTCTCTTCCCAAGCTCAGCATTCTGAAGTGGGGGATGGGGAAGATGGATAATTAAAAAAGCCAGTATAAAAGGTTGCACAGTACTTGAAATAGAGAAAATAATTATTCTCTTCCTCTGAAAAGGAAATGGCAAAACACAGCTTGTATAGATTTCAAAATCTATACAAGAAATAACAAAGAACCCAGTCAAAAATCATTATGCATCACTGAACGGGTACTCTGTTAGAAAAAAAAAGAAGCTTGTTTATAAGATTTGGCAAGAAAAACAATTACCAACAAGATGACTACTTTGTAATTCCCCTGCTATAAGAATGATGAGCTTGAAAACAAAGTTTCTGCCAAACTTTTTCCAGTTATTGAAGGACAAAATGGGTACTAAATAGCTTACAAAGGAATAACAGCAACTTACAGAAACTTCAACAGGCATGTCTTCATATTCTTTAGCAATAGCATTTCTGAAAGTTTCATTCCTCTGCTGAAAAGCTTCTATAGTATTCTGAAGCGCCTAAGGAAACAGCGGAGAAATTCCTCAGGCATATTATATTTGCATGTTACGTATTACCCTCTGCATTCTGACCAGTTATGGATTAGCAGAGGGAAGCTACAGCCAGAAAATATAAATATTACTTTTTTGATTGCTTAGTGAGAACATGTTTAAAAAATAAAGAATGTAGATGAATTTACCTTTATCCATTCTTCCTTATCTTGCTCAGAACTAAAAGAAATATTTGACACATTAGTGCAAGACTAGTTCAGGAAACATGATCTTACTATCAACAACTTCTTGCAAAAGCCAAGATTCCGAAGTAATTCTCAGGAATTTAAATTTAAGCAATACTAATTGTTAACTGTTCACCTTAAAAAACCCCAACCAAACAAAACAGAAGACAAAAGCATGACTCAGACTTCACAAGTTTACAATCACTAAGCAGTGAATTAGAAGTTGCAAGATAAATGTAAATGCATTTAAAAGCAGTAATAACATTGGCATTGTTAGACTTTTTTTTTTTTTTTTTTTTTTTTGACAGGATAGAGATGAAAAAGGACAACAGAAAGTTTAGGTGTAGGTGCTTTTTTCTCCTCTCATTTCATGCACTCCTAAATTCACATACTAACAACACATTTCCCACATGTGTATCTCTCAAATCTTGCTCCCTCCCCAACAAAAGTAATTTCCTTAATGCTTTTGTTGTTGTTACTGTTGTTCAACTTGTCTACAGTGGCAAGAAGAGTGTCCAATTAAACAGAAGGAAAAATGTGTTTTACTATCATAAACCAAACAGCAGAAATTTCATGCATTAGAGCAGATATAGATGACTTAACTGTAAGTACAGATAAGACAGAAGTGAAACAGGAAGCATGTTCAACTCCAACCTTGTACAACAGCTTTGTCTTTAAAATATATCAGCAGGACTTCGACATTCAAAGCTTGGAAAAGCATCTTATATCACCATTAGAAACTACTGGCTAGTGCTAATAATGAAAACAATTTCTCTGCAAATTTTAAGTCAGAAAGATGAGAATTAACAGCGTATCTGGCCCTTCAAAAGTGGTCTCCTCCTTGGATGTGGAAATAAAACCTTCTGTAGCCATGCAATATCAGCCATGCAAAATTTTATTTTTCTATGGATTGCTCCAAAGGATGTGAAAGAGAGCTTTTACAGCACCTCAATAAAAATGGCTCCTCATATGTTGTTTTGCAGTATTAGTAAAACTTTTAAGCAAGCAGAATCAAACAAGTTGTTCCCCTTCTCACCTACCATCTGCATACAAGGCAGAAGAAACCTAAACAGACAAAATAATTCTTCCTACCTGCTTACATTAAAAAACAAAAGCTAAGCTATTACAGATCAGCAACCTCTCAAAGAAATAATCTACCAGCTGTCTAAAACTAGTGATTGAAAATGTACTCAAATAGTATTCTGAAAAATAAATAAAAGCCTACTAGTATAAAAAGCCCCAAATGTAAACTAAACATTACAACACTTAATATAAGCTCATGAATTAAGGTCATTAAGGTATAGGGTACATACAATACTCATACATTAATCAAGATTATCCTAATATAATTGAGTAAGATCTCGTTTGGTACTTATTTCTTCACGATTTTGTATGGACTTGGTGCATTCTAAAAATGTTCATAAAACAAAACAAAACATGAAAATGCATTTTTCTCACACCTGAAATAAACTAATGTAATAAACTTTCAATTACTGGTAATACGGGGAAGTTAATAAGTTTACTTTGTTGTATCATTTTTCTTCCTTTCAAAATGTACTTCACAAACGGTGCAGCAAGATGCCATCTTTCACCACTGATACAGGTATATGGCATAACAACTTGCAAAATACTTATCAAGACATCATACAGTGATTTATAGTAGATGTGACTGATAGCCAAAACCATGCCCCAGAAGTCTTGCAGATGTTAGCGGAAAGCTTTTTCCCTTTACTTTTCAAAATATATATTTAATTTCAAATTCAGTGACAGTGTAGGTAAATTTCTCTATATTGTTGTCTTTCTATATTCACTGCTGTAACTTTCATTAAATATTACAAGTTTTTTTTCCATAAAGAAAAGTAGCTTGCAAGCTCGTTTGCTAGCAAGCTGTGGTTTGTCCCTAAATACATGCTGTCAACAGAGAACTGTATCCACCATGGTCATCCTCCTGCTTATTTAATCCTTGCCTCTATGCAATGAAATCCTGACTGCTAAGAACAGGATCTTTAAGCAGATCCAAAAGGAGAAGTGCAGCACCCTATTTAAAGCGGGACAGTCTAGACAGGGAAGGTTTAGTCTAGGCAATGCAAAAAGCAGCAATGAGAAGGTAACCCACCAACAGGAGAATACAAGGACTAATAAGGAAAAGAGAAAAGTGCCAGTCGGGAGAATGCAACTGGAGGAAAAGGAGCAAAGAACTAAAAGGAGAACTTGCCTTCCAGGGTGAGGTTGATACCTGGGACCAGAGGAAAACTGTAAACAGGCCTGAGGAATGAAGGAAAGCAGGTGCCCACCTACCATTGTAGAAAACTGTGTTCTATGGACATAAACCTAGCAGGGCGGAGAGTTTTGTTGGGTGGACACGCGCTGAGGTGAACAAACTCATTTGTACGAAGGTGGCTCAGGTACCAGGGGCAGCAGCACTCCCCAGAGATTACACACTCAGTGTCCCAAAACACTTAAGTTGGACAGATTGCCTTTGCATCAGTTCAGTACTCTGCTTTCAATTTTCCAGCTAGCCCATTCACAGCTGTCTTAGGTATTTCTGCAAAGTAAGACAATGGACTATACAATGTAGATGCATCTGCTACTCCAAGAGATTCTTGGACTGACAATTCATGATTTTTGGCAGCCTAGGCTATTTTCAAAACACTGATATTAAAATGAAGCCCACTGTATCTTTCTCCAAATCTATTAGTCCACTGTCTTGTGTGTATATATTTAATCTTCTAAAAACTAGATAAAAAAAAACTGCTTACCTGGCCTGCAACTCCAGTGTTCGCTCTTTTCCAGACACTTGAAAAGTGTGTGGATATTCTTCATTATGAGTTTCTATAATCTTCATACCATCTATGCCAACTCTGGTTCGAACCGAGAACTTCGATCCTACCAGGCTAAATTTGGGGACGCAGTAGAGCAACATATTGTTAAACTGGGGGGGAAAAAAAAAAAAAAAAAGAAAAACATAGATACAGCCACAATTTCTACTGAGAGATGGATGAAATTGCAAAGCTAGACTTAGTGGGTGAGAAAGCAGGTTATTTCCTGCTCAGTTGATATACAAGACCAAAGCTCTAATGCAAGACTACTTCTTTTTCCTATTTGTTTAGAAATAAGATTAAAGGACAGCTTCAGTGGATATAAGAATATTTGCTCTGTATATGCAGCAGTTTTCATAGCATTTCTTCTCAACTATACTCAGACTGGATATTTTATACCACTGTAAACCTTCTTTTAGAAAAAAGCATTCTTATGCCCCAATTCTGTAAAACCTACTTTAAACTGCAGCATAAGTCCTCTTTTCTTCAGTGGATACATTTATATTTTCCCTGTACCAAAGCCATTTGTTTTGTAGAAGTTGTAACTAATATTATATGAGGACATTATTTGTCTTTTCTCCAAGACAGAAGAACATTTCTTAGAGTTTTTACTCAGCGAAACCCTTGGTACCACAGGAAAAGAAAAATTACATGAGCAGGACAAAGATATATTAATTTACTAAAGATTAGAACTTTAAATAATGTTTAAATGTCTAAAGCCCCAGCCTAGAAGCACAGTTATTAAATCAGATCTATAGTGTTTAATTTTCTCACATTTTTTCCCCCTCACAATTTTCTCAAAATTAATTATTAAAAAGAGAAACTCACTTCAGTTAAATCCTATTTCATAGAAATCCTATCTAGCCTATTGCCTAGTCTGTATCACAGACACAGCACATTTGAACTTGTCACCTCTTGTATGAAGTGCAAATAATTTTAATCTGCTGTCCAGCCCCATTTGAGGTCTTACTATTCAATGGTTTCTCCTTTTGTTTGAAGCACAGATAAGCAGGAGTTGTGCCTCAACAACCCATCACTAGTCTTTATTAACCAGAAGACATGCAATGCCAGATGCCCATAAACAAAAACACATTAGCAATTTTTGCTGCATGGGAAGCAATGAACTACATCAAATCTTTTCCAAGGGACTCATAAGGGAGCATGGCTGTAGTTTGTTAGTTCGAAGACAGGACACAGACACCTGACAAGTGGATCACCTGCCACGATAGCAAGCTCCCACAGGACCATGAGACTTACTGGGACCCCAACACACACAATTGATTAGGACTAAAACCCTAAGTTTCTGCATTTCAGTTTCATGAGAGTGTCAAAGTTCTCATGCTCTAGGATCTGCATTTATAATCAGCAGCCACTTATTTAAAAGTGAGTTGCTAAACACTGTTTCCATTTATTTAAAACCACGTATGCTGTTCTAAATGGTGTTTTCAAGCCTTTCTGTAAGCAGTATGTTTACTCACGCTCTAATATCACTAGTGGAAAGGCTCTGACATCTACAAGAAGAGGATTTCCCAGTCTTTTTGGTTGTTCAAACTGAAAGAGGTATACAGCCACTCCTGCAAACTCAGGACACCATACTTACAAGGAAAAGATACCGCTCTTGAGCAGATGTATTGCGAGCAGCAAGTTTAAGGATCTGTCCTTCTTTTATCAGTTCATTTGAAGGGTTCACGATGTCTTCCTCTTCTCCCAGCATCTCATATATCTCTAACAACTTCTTTAGATTCTCCTTTACAATGAAAACACAGTTACAAAACTTATTAATTAAAAGCACAGATCTTTAAGCATGTTTAAATGAAATGACAGGAGCCACTGTAAGTCTGGAGAATGTTAGTTTTGAAAAACATATGTATACCCAGTATGTATGGTCAGCCATACAGACCGATTAATTAGTTGATACAGTAACAAGTACTTTTGGAAATGTTAAATCCATGGTAATTTAAAAAATGCAGTTCTACATACAGCCTGTGTTATTTCTTGTCCAAAATATATCACAAACTTAATGAAGTACCTATCATGCCAGCCCAATACGGTAGAGAAACAGCAGCTACTCTTTACAAATATTATCCTTCCACTGACAGAAAGAGATGAAACAAGGTGGAGTCCAGCACAGCGTCAGTTATTTGAGCCAGGAGAGGGACCCAGTCTGTCCCATTTTCCACTTGAGAGAACTAGGTGCAATGCCAAATTTTGTCTATCATTTGCAGGAGCTGTATAAATACATTAAGTAGGAGCAATCACTTGGACCCAGGAAACCCATTTTTGTAATTTTAGGGAAGATTTGCAATTCACACTGCTAGCTTCACCCAATATTCAAATATAACATATTGAAAAATGAACAGGAAAACAAGGATCATTTACCATTTTTCTTATTGCACTGTTAGAGTGACTTGCTGCAGTGGATATAATTTCCAGGGATTCTATATAGAAGAAAAAGAAAAAAAATAAAGACAAAAAGCTGCATTTTCACGTATTTATATTACACAGAAGAAATGAAATATTTCAAAAAATTATCTGGCAAGTAATTTTGAACAATGTGTGGAAATATCTTGAACTGCTGTGTAAATATAGAGAGGAGTAAGTTTAAAAATGGGCTGTTCTTTTTCCCGATGGCAGCTTAAAAATACAGTAATGAGTCTAATTCCACTTTTTTACAAATAAGAAATATACATTCCAAATGTGCATAAAGCAAACCAAAATGCTGACAAAACCAAACAAACAAAAACCAAAGAAAAGCCACCACAACCCTGGATCATCCGCAAAGCAAACAAATCAAAACCTGTGCACTATTCCAAAGCTAAAGCAAAACTTATGTGCTCCAGGAGGAGAAAACTAAAGGCTTTATATTTTTTTTATATTAACTTCATCCACTATTCAAATAGGTTTTTTTCAAAGAATCTTACAACTTCACTTAAAAAAAAATATCTATCATTCTTTTCAGAGGGACTTAGCTTCTTCACTTTATTTTTCCTGAAAATATCTTTAATTTACAATATCCTCTTACAACTATCTTATTTCAGCTGTTTCAACGACTAGGAGATATTTACTTTCAGCATCTTTCCAGTCTAGGGAATCCTGAGGCAATTTCCTTAGGTAGTCCTTTAGAAGCATCTCGTAGCGTGGAATGCGTTGTACTGGTTCTAGCATGTGATGTTGCAATGTCAAATTTCCACATACTTTTTCCTTCTAAAAAATTGCAAACATATTTCAATGCAGCAGGCAAAAATGTTACTACAATATAGTAAAATAAAAGTTATGACTGATGAAACGTAAACAATGTGTTTTGAAACATGCATGATAGATCTTCTGAAAGAAAGCAGAACTACTTTACCAAACCAAATAATTAGAAGTTCTTTCCTAAAAATAATTGTAAAAACTTTCCTAAGTATCCAGTAGTAAGTATCCAATTCATAAAGAAAAGTCCTACCAAGAAAATCTCCCAACTCCAGTGTATTTTAAATTAGGTTTGTAGTAACTCAGACAAGAGCATTACTACTGAATTAATAAGAAGAGTTCATGAGCACATATTAGAAAAAGTTGCTTAAATGGGCTGCAAAGTTATATTTGAGGAGAGAGTGCTTTCTTTGAGTTTCATTTATAATATAAATCCTGTCAGCAGTGTTTTAAGATGCATATTAATTTCCATAATCTTAGATGTAATTAAAAGATTACATTAAAATACACATAGTTGTCTTCCGTGGCTTAGCATCACAAGACCCTATAGAACAGTAAAATTTGAGCAGAACTACCTTACCCTATTTCTAGCTGCTAAGTAGGAAGACACACACCTGCCAATTCACAGAGAAACCTACAGGGAGCACTAGAGGGTATAAAACGCACCTTGGCATAGAGTAGTGCATTGCTTAACTGTTAAGCTGTCTTTACCCTTTGTGGCTCAGCATTTAGGATTATATACTTACTTCCAAAGCATAATGCTCCGCATAACAGCACTGGTGTGAGCCAACAGAGTACTTACGGATTCAGTGCAAGGATCCTCAGGTGCACTAATATGTCACTTTATCCTAAAACAATATTTACTTTTGGTACCTATGACAAAATGTAGTACTTTTTTGGTCATCTTGTGTTTCATCCTTTCTACTTTGGTCCTCTCTGCTGCACTGGAAGGGCTGGATTTGTGGGGGTATTTGTGCATGCATGAAGGGAGAAGGAGAAGAAACAGAATGCGGTGTGAAGTGAACAAAAACAACCACCTTTAAGAGATTTGGTATTTAATTTTCTCTTTAACCTGTTTTTCACCCACAAACCTACATATTTTTATACATGCTTGTATGACTTGGAGATTTACATTATTCTCCCCATTACCTGAATGTCTTGAATAATGAATTTGAATTGAGGTGACCGTTCAGTCCACGTTTTCACCAATTCCATTGCATTATCAAAATTCTTCACATACTCTCCATACATCTTGAGGAAAGGAGCTAACTTTTGCAGAATATCTCCAATTCTGGGGGTTGTAGTCCTGCAAAGTAAGAGAGTGGAATCTCAGAGCAAACAGGAAAGAAAAGTCACACAAGGTTATGAAACCATTTCAAGCATTTAATAGAGAATCCTTCTGTTTGGGATTGCGTCATACAGAGTTCAAACTTAACCATCAAAACTGACCAGAATTAACATAGAATGTTTGTGTCCTCTTTGATGATGTGTGAGCATTACAGGTCATGTAGAGCACTAAAGAAAGAAAAGCTGTCTATAATGAAAAACTCAAAAAGATTTTATATACAAAACATGGCCTAATTTATTTTGTTCGCACTTCCTGAAAACTACAGTATCTTCTTTTGAGCACATTTTACCCTCTAAGTATCTAACCTGTGGTTTTGTTTGAGGACTAAATCCACACTGTACAACTTCCCTTCTGTGTCTTATATGAATACATGTATTTATAGCTTTTAAAAAGCAGTATTTATTTAAGAAGAGCTATGAAGTAGAGAGAATCCCTTGTATTCCAGTCTTTGTGAGAACTTTCCCACATCTTGATCACATCTTCAAATAAAACGGAATAGTAAAGAAACTAACGGAGAGGCAGAGAGAAGCCGCACTCTCGATGCACACAAAGAAAGCGGAACGGCACACACGCATGTCCAAGAACTATAAGAGGAAACACCTTCGACGTTTCATTTTCAAGGATAGACTCAGAAACTCAGTATCTCTGGATTTCCAAAAGCCTGAAATCAATGTTGTGGTAGTGGTCCAAAGTGAAGCAATCTAGTGCAATTACTTCAGCAGTTTATTCCAGCACATCCCTTCTCCAAGAGAAAAAGCTGCGCAGAAGGGAAAAGTTATTTGAATAGCTAATACTGACAGGAGTGGCAAAGGCTGGTCTAGCTCCAGTTGTCTCCAGGGGCACAGAAGGTACCTGTGTAAGACCTGGCAGAGGTCTGAGCTACTGTTGGGCCTGGCAACTAAAGAAGGGGACAAGATAGTGTGGGAAGTTGGTCTCTGAAATCACCAAGGCTCTCCAGCCTTAATTAGCTTCATGTAGTTGTTCGACTGCTCTATATGCAAGCAGACACATACACTTTCAAAGGCAAGCTAACAATTTAAAACAAAACCCCTCTCCTTTGTTTCAACTGAATGCTATTTCCCTGGGTTGTCATTTTATTGCAATGTAGCAGCATAATTTTCAACTGAAAATAAAATACAAATCATACCAACAGAACCAAAGGAAATGTGAATACATTTCTAAAGGTCACCAGAAAAAAAACCTCACAGACATGAAAGTTTTCTGATAAATTTAACAGATAAGTAATTATAAAATTTTACGATTAAAATAACTTAAAGCAGAAAAGACTGTGGCAATCTTTTTTATCTAAAGAAACTGGCACAAAAAAAGAATACTTCTACTTAACTGCTTCACAACTGTCACTAGACGGACATTGAAAGAAAATGTTAAAACTTTTATAAACCAAGAAACAGGAACAGTTTGCTATGCCTGCTCCCTGGATACCTATGGCTGCTCATTTACACGGACCACTGCCATTTCACTGTCTCTGAAGGTTCAAAAACTTTATTGCTACTTTTCATGCAAGGTCCTTATATGTCCAAAGACTCTGAGGCTGTAAAAACATAAATTTGTTATCATTTCAGGTAAGACAGACAAGGTTCACGTCACACAAAGAGCTCTGAAAGAACAGGAAGGACAGGGGAAGTCACAGAAAGCAGAACCTTCCGAGAGCAGCATCCTCCCTTGATGGATGTATAGACATATATTACACATATAGACAACTAGTTCATCTCATATTCAAATGCTACGCAACATGAGCCAAATTATCAAGTTCTGCTAAGTGCAGGCAGGTCCAGAACAGTTACTGTTCTCTTGAATAGACAGATCAAAAACAGAACTACTACCATGGACCCAAATCAGGCCTGCACTATTGACAGACAACAAAGATAGCATCATTATACGGGTCAAGAAATAGGACTTCACATTGGAACACAGGTACAGAAACACTTCGTATTTCTGTGTTATCAGACCATGATGGTATTCACACTTGCATTCTAAAAACTCAAACTTGAAGTATCTGACTTACTAATCATGACCTGTAGCATCTCATTTAAAACTATCATGGCTGCAAGACAACTAAGTAAAGGTCTATAAAGTCACAACACAGCAAACGTCACTACAGAGAGACTGCTTTGTCTTGCAATATCCAAGCTAACAGGCATTCAACAAAATTAAAAGTTGCAGTTGCAAAGCAAAACAAATCATTTGAGTAGGTCAGCTCTGTAATTGCCACAGATTCCAAAACTTTGTGTCAAAAGAGTGCATAATTTCTTCAGCAGCCCCCTACGCCCCCGAGGCTATCACGCTGTGGTCTTAAATTCTTCCCCAGGTATCTGCTATTGGTCATCCTCGGGTACAAAAGACAGAGTTAGATGAGTCTCTTATTTGATGTGGGCTCACTGTTATGCTCTGTTACAGTCTTTTCATGGGAAATATATTGCGACAAGGCTGTTTCCAGTGTTTTCAAGACATGTTTTAAGAGAAATATTCAGCTCCAGCTATTGCTCAACTCATTCAGAATGCAACTACCAGACAATTTCATTTCCACTCGATAAGCTAGATTCACACTGTCTTTTCTTCTAAGAAAGAAGAATCTGCTTCTGATCTGCTTTCCCAGTTTCAGTAACTACGTATTTTTACCTTATGTTTTCAAAACAAACCACAACTCAGGGAAAGTGTCAGAAATTTTCATCCAGCTATTTTTATTGAAAGCTAAAGAACAAGAGAAGATGTGCATAAACCTACCAGTAAAACATACTTAAGTATTTTCTATGTCCAATTAAGGACACTGCTGAGAAAAATTAACTATCTGGCAGAAGCTGTTGTTTCAGAGACTAGTGATGGGGAAAGAAAATTATCCCAAATTTTTATTTCAGCAGTGGTCAGAAATTGTTCTCTTCAGCTGCACCCTTTCTTCTAACTCCTCCCAAAGCATAATGTTTTAAGGACCTTTAAACAGGCTGTCTCAGGTACAGCACAGAGGTTGTTTCCAAGCAATGTGGGAAAGATAATACCCTTATGATGCAATTTATTAGTTTTGCACTAATAGTCAAAGCTCATCTGCAAAAGCAGTTTTCAACCTTTGAAGCTATGTAATTATACACAGATTATTAGTGTGCAATTTAGCATTTTCCAAATACATAATGTAATGCAACCCATCTGCTGTGCTCTATAATATGTCTAGAGCAAATTTAAGAGTACATAACAAATTTCATTTCAAATATATACAGCACTGACAATGTAGTGTAAACTGCCTTTTAAACATCGTTGGACTACGTTAAACTCCACTTCTCATGAATGTGCACTCTATTTTAATCCAGGCACTCGTATTTCGTATCAGATTTTTTGCAATTGATCTGAAGAAAAGGATGGATTTACCTTATACAGTCATTTTGCAAAGAACTTAAGATGCAAACTTTGCTACGTTCTACAATGCTTAGGTTTTATTTACTTTCTTGCATTATAGACTATACCATGTGTTTGTGCATGCTAACTGTTCTATTTTAAAGAATCATCATTTTAAAGGGGAATCATCTTCTAGAGTTAGGACATATATAGCTCATTGTCTAGAGCACCACTTTGCGGTCTGGTCATATATGTCACAAAAATACATTATTTCTTATTTTTCAGTGTGATTTTTGACAATTAAGGTGTTCTATGGAAGTGTAACGGGAAACAGTACCTGGACAAACACTAGAATTCCTTACAGTAAGCCCTAGACAACATGGAATACAGCAACCAAACAGGTGCTGTGGTGAAACAACTAGATGAAAAAAAATTAATACATTTTTATTTGGTTTGTTTGTTTGGGGGGGTTTGGTGGTTTATTTTTGCTGTTTTGTTTTGTTGGTTTTTTTTGTTTGTTTGGTTGTTTTTTTTAATCAGGTGTCCTCTTCCCCAAATAAGTTTGGGAAGCAGCAAGGGTTTGGGACTTTCCACCACCACCACCCCCCTTCAATTACATGAGACAAAAAATACTTGGCTATATTTTAGTCTCTCCAAAATAGTACACACCAAGGCAGGAGAAAGATACTACAATAGCACATCGTCATTATAGAGTATATTTACACCTCAGCTATCCTTCTTGCATGCTCCAAATAGAGGTCCTATCAAAAAAAGCTGAGGAAAAAAGGTCCGCAAAACATTCCTGACCTGGATATGGATTTCAAACAGAAAATGAAACCACAGAAAATCAAAACCATATCCCACCTTATTACAGCAAGCAATAATGACAGAAGTTACTGTGCTACAAGGGTAGCGCAAAACACATATATGTTATTTATCTCAATTTTTTATTCTGTGCAACAAATTCATCAGGTAGCACAATTTCAGCCTGAACCTCTAATTCAGCAAGGAATTTAATCATGAGTAATCTCACTGGCTTCAGCGAGATACATGTCCTTTATTTTGAGCAAATGATGCAAGACCTCTACTGAGTCAGATCCTGATGACGAGTGGAAGAGCAGATGTTCTTCTACCCACAGTACTTCCTGGGCCTGGAGCACTTAATTGTGAAGGTACCTTCCCTACCTCAGCCCTGTGACAGAGTTTCTACAGACACTTTTTCAGTACTATATTAACAAGTGAATTGCCTCTTACCATTCTTGCATTCTTTTCTCAAGTTCTGGAAGTAAGAATTTACTGTGGAAGGCATTTATCGATGAAATGTTAGAAAAGATTTTGTTAATCACTTCAGCTGGAAATGAACCTCTGTTTGCTTCCTCAAGGAGTCTTGAATAGAATACCTGTAATACAGGAAAAAAAGCCCCAAACCTATCAGCCCATTATCTTTCATCATCAGGAAAACCACCTATCTACCCCTCCTACTCCAACTGAGGCAAGATTAGTATTTCAATAATATAGATGAGTAATGACAAACTCATCTATTGTCTTTCCCTCACCAGAAGTTAAAAGCTTCTCCTCTCCTTACACTGCACTTTTTTCCTCTTCAGCCAGGAAAGCGCTGCAGGCAGAGCAGACATAAGTAAAGCCAAACTGAAGTAGTGCCATTTTGGATCGACTCCAGGCATCCTGTCTGTTTTAACAGCTAGATCATCTCAGCTTTCCCAGTCTTCCAGTCGTATTTTCCACTCTTGCTTTCTTTTCAATTAGCATGATGTCTGATCACCATTAACCCAACCACTCCCCTTGTATCCTGTATCCCCTTATCCTTTTGAAACCAAAGTAGTTGGCAGGCTCTGAGTGGCCACCACATAGCACTTAAAGCATAAAAGGGACCCAGTTCTGATTGGACTCTACTATAGTCTCTTTTAAAAAAATATTTTCTTTCCCTATCAGTGGGCTTTACCTGACCAACGCAGCTACAAAATAGCTAGAGATGTGTCAGCTGTTAAAGCAGACATCACATAGAACAGTGCTTATGAGGGTGCTTATGGTCTCTCTAGCTCCCTTTTCCCATGCTTGAACTGCACCACCCTAGAAAGGGCTTCAGAAGTTTGGGTAAGGGCTTGGGAAAGAAGGTAAGAGTCTGAAGACAGGAAACTTTGATAATATCAACTGAGACAGCAGAAGTGTCTTGAAACGAAAAAGCCATACACTTTCACATATCCTTTAAAACACTTTGCTGCGCCTCCGAAAGGAGATAATTAATTTTGACAAGTTACTTTGAAGACTATAAAGATTACATAACATTTCAACCAAGTTTAGAAACATAACAGTCCCTTCCCAGTCTTCCGCTTTCCTCCCATCAGCAGAGTTGAGCAGCTATGCTTGAAGCTCTTTTTTCAGAACTCCGTCCAGTTAATATTTAGAAAAACAGGCATAAGAGTAACGCACTTAGGATTGCATCAAGGAAAATAATTGTACATTACCTATCAGAAAAACCTATGAATGAAGTAAACATTTTCCTTTTTTATTTCTAAACTTCTCCAAATCAAAGGTCTTTTTTTCTGCAATACTTGTCTTTTAAAACACACCATAGTGTGGGTCTGCTAGGTAAATCCACTTTCACTGGGACAATTACTTAGATCCCCAAGCAGCCTGAACAATTATTGTGTCAGCTGAGACTTTTTACTTTTCACCAACTGTTTTTACGAGACCTATGCATTAGACCTAAGAAACAGCAATGTCTGAGGAAAATATCATGGAGTAAGGCAACGCAAAGCTATAGGTATCCAGGTAAAACGGATATAAGTGTTATGTGAGAAAGTAAAGATGACTTAAAAAGGAAAATACTCAAGAACTACAGACTTTCACATTTAAGAAATATCAGTTTGATTCTACAGAACACAAGAATTCAAGCCTTTCCTTGCAGGAAGAGTAATTTCTGTTCACTTCAATTGGATTTAGTCTAAATGTATAGTGGGAAAATAATGAATATACAGTTCAGAATGAGCATCTTCCTAGGTTCTTTGGCACTAAAGAAAAGTTCTGATCAGGTGGCTCAAATTTGAAACATTCAGTATTACAAAATTATATCCTCCTCAGTTCCACCAGAAGCCAAGAAATGATTATACATCCTCTTTGTTGGAAGAGCTACCAGAACACACTACTGTTGCTTATGGTGACATCCACACACATAGAATGTATTGGATTAATATCCACAAAATTCTAATACTTTTAAAAATGCAGTGTTCTCAAAATAGAAACATAGGCAAAGTTATGTATCAAGAGCAAATGACTGACTGGAAAAGTCAGCAAAATGTGAAAAACATACCACCTCTTATGTAATTTATATACACACTTATGCAAAGCTATTTGAGTGATTTCGAGGCAAGACAACAGAAATAGATTCAAGAAAAATGTACCCCATCTAGGAGGTCAAGTCGGCTAACATAGGCTTTTTCTGTTTGCAGAAGTTCGCTGGCAATTTTGTGACGTTTCTGTTCATCTGTCTCCTGAAGGAAAATAAGAAGAGGTCTTAGGACACCGAAGGAAACAATTTAATACTAAAAAAAAGTTGAAAAAACATACGATTACCTTACAGCCCAAAAAGCAACTGAAATCCAAGTTTTGCATTTAGTAAGAGATACCCCATTTTGAAAAATACAAACTGTCCAGCAGTTTCCATCAACAAACGCCAAAGCCAGAGGAGGATAAAAATCAGCCTAACTGCAGAGCAAAACTCAAAGCCTAAAACATTTAATATTTCCAAGTTCGTACAGGGATCTTTGCCAAAGCACCAACTCCCTATTTAACGGATCAGCTCACATCCTGGTAATTGAGTACCACTGACCTTTCAGAGCTGGAAGAACTGATTTGCAGAGTAAGAGGGAACAGATGGGATTAGTTGGTGTTCGCCCCCACCCCCATTTCGAAAGTTATTTGAACTGCGTGTTCTTCGCATGACAGAATTATTGAAAAATACTGTACAAAATGTTTTATGTTCATCAATACACTCATTGGTGATTAATTGTTGACTGCAATTAGAGGGCTCCTTCCCTAGGTCTTTATGGAAGTCACTTCTGCATCTTAAGGGAAGTTTTCACGTTAATGTCTTTCATTCCACAAAATAATTTTTTGATTCTTCTGCTGAACGGAAACTTAAAACTTTAATTCAAATTTCAATTTTTAACTAAATATGTTAGAATATAAAATTATGAGTTGCTATGAGAAGTTACTTCAAAACAAAGAATGAAAGCACAGCTTTCTACAACATTAAAACATTAAGGAAATGCCTCAGGCTCACAAGTGTCAGATTCAACAAAATCACACTTCCATTACAAGATTTTTCTTCCAGATTTAGTGCTAGCACTGAAAAGTGTTCACATCTAACATCTAAGCCTTTCCTAAGAAAATGGCAGTCTTATCATAGCACTTATGGGAAAGTGGTAATTTTCCATGCAAACCGTCGTCATAAAAAAAAATAAAAGAGCTTGAAAGAGTTACTTCTGACTTCAAACGACATACTGCTTTCTACAAGAGTAAGATAAACATTTGCAAGTACATTTATAAGGATGGTTTGCAGAATACTGAATAGTAAAGAACAGTCTTTTCATTTAATGTACTTCAGTGGCTTTTTTTCCCTTTTCAGTACTCAATAAGCATTCCGAATTTGAACACATTTCAGTTCTAATCTGCAGTGTTAACAGTCACACTGCTACATGGCAAGCCTCCTCCTTAAATAGTGGCTTTCAATAGTGACTTCAAAGCTGTGCATTAAATCTGTTTAAATCGGCATAGCAACCACGGTAACCTATAGAACAGCATTTTAAGTGCTGTCAAGAGATACTGCAGGGAGCTGGAGGATTAGCTGTTGCAGCTACAGCATGCTATTTAGCCTGGACATTTACAAAGCATCTCACATGGGGACTTGAGGCGCAAAACCATGGAGGCTACTGGTTCCTCGGTGATTTTATTTTACATTTTTCCTCCCCCGACTTTCTTCCTGAAGCACTGTTACAGAGCCAATAAGCAGTTTTCAGAAGATTACTTGAACTGATTAAGAGTGGGAAAATCACATATAACAGACTCAAAAATATCCCACAAAATGAGCCACTGAGGAAAAAGCATTTAACCGTCACTCCTAAATCAGGGCAAATCCCCCTTACTCTCCCACTATACTCTGACCCCAGCTTTCCCATCCTTTTCCTATCAACCTTGCACATCTTCCTAATTCTTGAACCTCAGTCTCCTTTCTACATCAATCGCACTATGTGACACAGGAATCTTCTGTGTGGGAAAAAACACACACCATGGATGAGCTATCTTTTAAGCATAGTGGCATGCTTTTATTCCAGCATAAAAACATCCACCTATAAGGTTATATCAGTGCAAGACTAAAATTGTATTGCTAGTTTTCTTTTAGGAAAGTCCTCAGTTTCCCACCTCACTGTTTCAGTATTTGCCCACAGGTTACATGAACTCTCTCAGCTGTGTTTTCTACTACTGGCTCCATCCTCCTCTGTTTCTGCAGACCCAAATTTGGCTTTTCCAAGTAGCAGAAAGCAACTCTTTCAACATAATTTGGAAATAAATCCTAAATTATGTTTGTGACAGTAAGAATGAGACAGAGACATTTGTTATTAAAGCTGTTCAACAAAACAGCTTTGAAAAACCTTGTAGAAATATGGAGGAAAATTCTTAAGAGAAAAAAACTTTAAAAACCATGGGAAACCTGAAGTTGGTATTCAACTTCTGAGAACTTCAATGCTCTACTGTACGAAATCTAATCATTAACAGTAAAAGGGAATTTTAATTCTCTTTTAAGTTACAAGTTAAGTTTTATTTTCATGGGTATAACCATAAATGCACACATCTCTCTTTACAAGTAGGATAAAAATATAATAGAAATGAAAGATATGGACACTTTTTTTTTTTTTCTGGAAAACTTTTGTATTTCCCTCCCATGATTTCTTAATGCTTTTAGTACATCAGTATTTATATGGGGCTCCCTGCTGTTAACAAAAAATACCAAACCAATAATTTACTACAAGGTATACCTGGACACATACTCTATCACTTCTCAATGATTTCAGGGAACATTTCAAACTTCTGTGACAATCCATAACACATGGCAACTCAATGTATAAAACCAAACAGAAATGGGAAATCATTCGTGTGCTGTATACAGAACATTCACATTAGAGGTACGTGATTCCAACTGCTCATCAAAACATAAGTGTGAGATAGCAGCAGGTGCACCAGGCAGGACTGCAAACTTGTACCTCTGTATGGATGCTCACAATAAGTAGCTCACCTAGGCCTAGTTATATATTCTTTAGTACAAAGTTGCACATCCTTAGAATCATTACATTACTACGGATACTTAAGAAATTAAAACAAGTAATTTTTACCAAAATTGTTCTTTAACTCTGAAATTAGGTAGAGGTATGAAAAATGCTGCTGCGAGCATGAACTTTTTTGCATCTGTGTTCATATCTCCTAACGTTGTTTTTCCATTGTCCTAAAGTTGCAAAAATTATGCTAATTTAAAGCAGCTTTTACATAAACCTAAATTCCAATATAGCTGTAGCTTACTATCCAAACCAAACAAGAGCTATCTCCAATCAAGAAAACTATACCTACCAATGTGACAGTAATCTTGTACATGATTGAATCCTATTTAGGTGTAGCCCTTGCCCCAAGGGCTTTGCAGTAATATATTAAGCAGCACAGACAGGGAGAGAAACGTAGAGTATGAACAAATATCATCCAATCTATGTTGTGCTCATTTGTTTGTAATGCTCAGTTTAGTCTAAAGTAACAGAGTGGGCTTTTCTTTTCTAAAACCATTCATTGTCATAGCTGCTTCATGATTCCAAGCTTTCTTCTCTAATTATTTGGAATATAAATGTAAATTTACAGGAGAATTTAAGACTTCCTTTAATATCTTGAGTCCTTGGTTTCCGAAATCAAGGAAACCACTAAATTTTGCAAGACCTGCAATGAAAATCCTGAATGCTACCATCACCTTCTGGGATATTAAGTCTATCTATTGCACAAATGATGGGTGAGTTTCTTGCACAGCAACCAAGAACAGCAGTGAAGATCCTGGTAGCCCTAAAGAAGTAATTCTTCTCAAGAGGATTTTCTGCATTTATACTGGGTGCTAAAGATACACTGCTTTGTTCATGATTTACTGTTTCTAAAGAAGACCATAACGTAGAATCAGGAGGAAGTTGGTAAAACTTCTCAAGTGTTGTAAAAGTAAAGCATTTCTTGGCAGAAAGTTACCTTTGCAACAAAGTTTCACCCTAATTAACTAAAAAACTTCACTTTATATTTAGAAATACAGGATCTCCACTAGGTTTTGCATCTGAAACACCAAAGCCCCCAACATTGCCATTGAAAGGAGACATCAAGTAAGGATTTTATTAAAGATGTGCCATGGATTCTTCTCCATCTGTGACATGCATGCAGTCTATAGCCCTGTTTCCTACCAGTCTCACAACAAATACCAAAGCATTTATCTTCTTGTCTGCAGTTAGCTTGAGCAGCAGATTTCTCACAAGATGTTATTCAGGAAGTTAATTGATTGGGATGTTCTTGTACTAGTCAGCCTCCGCGTTTTAGGCAAAGCAAATTCTATGACAGAAGGTGCTTCTGCTGCAAGGCAGGAAACTTTTCACTTTTAATTGTCTTTCTGCTTGTGATATTTGTGGTTTGTGACTCTCAAACTAATTCAGTAAATAAGAGAAATAAAGCATACTCTACTCTGGTCATTTGGGGAAAATGTTTCAGAACACTGACAAATTTAGTAAGTTTTGTCTCAACTTTTCCAGAACCTGCAATTAATTATCTGACTTTAGTCAGATCTACAGTGATAAGGGGAAAAAAAAAAAAACAAACCATAAGAGCAACATTATTTCAAAATAACCTTTCTTTTCCAAGTCTGAAAAGTAATTCCTGCTCTGGTTTTGCACCATTCCCCAATTTAATTCACCCTTTCCAGCAGTGGACTTGGTTTACTTCTGTTGTATATATATGCATTTACAAAGAGATAGCACCATGTTTTTCTCTTCCCTGAGTTAGGAAACACGGCATGCAAGAGACAAGATACATATTTTTTTTTGATACTGATGCAAAGTATCAGACGCATAATTTAAAGTTTGTCTATGACTCACATGCATCTGCTCCTATTGCTTTTACTGAATTGTACCTACACTTGCTTAATTAAAAAGGGCAGAAGAGTGCTGTTAGTCTGTGCAGTGCAACTTCAACTGGACTGCATCCCAGTTTTAAGATTCTTTGCTGACTAAGTGGGCGCTTAGCAAAATCACAGACTGTCTAAATGCTCTTACTGCTTCCCAATGCCTGCTTGGACGTCAATTGAGCTTAAAGCTCTGCCAGACCTCTTCTGTTCCTCATCACCCTTCCGCTACTCCAGAAAGCATGGCAGCAGCTACTTAGACCTCCACAGGGCTGATATCAACCTATAGTTTGCATTAATCCAAACTAAATCAGTGTTTAATTTTATAAAGTGTGGCCCTTAGATCAATCTGTGGTAGACATGCTTCCTGCTCTCACTAGACTAACTAGCTAACACACTGTTATCTCTGGAAGTGCTGCTGTGACCCAGTTCAGCTTTATAGAGTCAGCTCTTCACCAATGCTGGTTTAAGAGCCACCCTGCACAGGTTTGTTTTGGTTTATGTTTCTACCCTTCAAGCACCAGCAATACATCTGGTAGCAGCCACATTACACCTCACAATTTGACTCTTGGTCAGTATAGGACAGATCACACATGTTGGTCCCAGCAGCTCAAAGACAGGTTTGATGACGCTGCTCCCATTAGCCTTTGCTCAGTTCCTTCCTAGACTTTACAACAGGACTGCTTCCTATTTCTGATTTTTCCTGAAAATGCTGCCAGCACTTTACTACCACGTGACTTGGTTTCAAGCTTAACATCGTTGCTCGTGGAGCGTTCAGCACTTTATTGGCACAGAGAGGGGGAAACAGGCATTACCGAACAGGAGGCAGAAACATAATGAGAGGTGTGGCAGGTTAAAGGTGCCTTGGACCGTGACCAGACTTAGGTTTAGATGGGGATCATAACGTTCATTCATTACTGGCAAAAACAACCCCTAAAACAAACAAGAAAACTCACACAATCCATCTCCTTCTTATCATTATCTGGGATATTTTATCCTATAATACAAGAGAATTTGAGACCCACCTTTCCCACACCCAGAATTTACCCTCAAGCATGTATGCATGTGACCACTAGAGAACCAAACCCAGGGGCTTGGAGAGGTCTGTGCTTAACTGATGCAGGTGCACTCCTGACAAGCAATGATGAGCTTTATCAGTGCTCAGCTGTTTGGCTCTGCGGTGAAGAGGAAGGCTGGGAGGGTCCAGCCCAGTTGTCGTCCCTCCGCCCCATGACTCACACATGGCACAGCTGGGCCAGAACTGTTCATGATTTTCACTGGCCACAAATGCTTCAGTATGAGAAGGCAAACTGCATAAGCAAACTTTTAGAAGTGGAAACATGCACAATTTTTCAGCAATTAATTTCCCAAGACAGATTTTCTTCCACCCACTTATTTCCCTTAATTACTTAAAACCTTCCTTACGAGGAAGCTCAAATTGATCATAAGTTCTCTTTGCTAACAAGGCATATATTTAGTATACTCTGAACCTTGCATCTATCTGATAGCTAGCAGACTGCCACTGCCTTTCCAGCTTTGACAACTACAACCACGTTAAGGATTCATATGACAGTTCTGCCTGAAGCCCTGTTGCTGCAGTTTGCTACACTTGGAATTTTATTTTATATACACCACTAATATGTGTCCCTCTAGTCTGGCACAGCTGAAGCATAGTGCTAAACATGTACACACATTTCAGTTTCACTTTTTTTTAAAACTCAGATAGCTAATAGGAAAAAGAAGAGGGGACACAAGGATGGAGGGGCAGGGAGGGGGGGGGATGACACAAGGAAAGCAACATTTTTTTTCATGTCTTTTTCCAGAGGAAAAATAACCAAAAGATTTTCAACTTTCTGACCTGCTCTTGGAAGCTTATATTTGTAAATAAAAACTTAGAGAAAATACACAAAGGAGTAACAGAGCAAGAATGAAACAATTTCTCTTTTTACCTTTATTTCTACAGGTTGATCTTGCTTACTGATTTCCTCAGCTGGTTCTTCCTCCACATTAGTATTAATTTCTAGAGTATCATTTTCAGACGGTAGCAGTGTATCACTGCTTGGAGTCCTGTAGCAGCTGTTAAGCATCTGTCCTTCATAGGCAGTCATACCTTGCAATGACTCTCTAGAAGTACTTTCTCCATTTATCAAGTTACTGTTGATGGCATTATCTGGAACAAGGGTGGACATAGCAGAGCCATGATCTGGCAATTTCCTGTCTGGAAAATCTTCTGTCTGGTCTTGTGCTACTACTCCATTGGCTGTGTGTAGCTGTGCAACCTGAGTTTTGTTGGTATTACTGTTTCCCTGTTTCTGTAGTGGGTGCTGGGAGAGGAGTTTTGGCTGAGGTGATGGTGTTGACCCATATCTTCCTTGAGATTTAGAAATGTGGAGAACTGAGGAATCTTTCTTCAAATCACTAGGATTTAACGGGCTAAAAACACCAAACAAACGAAACAGATGAGAGAAAAGTTAAACACAGCATTATAGAAAATCCCTGGTTACAGGGAGTAGGAATTACACCATATAACCAATTCCTCCCAAACCATTTTTTTTCTATGTTAACAGTAGGAAGTTCAGGCCATCGAGACTTGAGCACGCACAAACATGAAACTGGAAATCCAGAGTGCCATCCATTTTGATCCATTACATCCTCATGTAACTTGAATCTCATTTGTAAAATGGGAGGCAGTATGATCAGCTACATGTAACAGACAGGGGAACTGAGGCACTGATACATGAAGCAACTTGCCCAAAGCTTCCCAGAAGATTGCTGGGGCAAATGGAGAAAGACTTATGGTCTCTGCATTCCTAGTCCAATGTTTAAACTAACAAGAAATCTGTTCCCTAACTGCCCTTTAATTATATAAAATGTACAAAAAAAAAAAACCCCAAACACCATTCTAGAACATTTAGGATCCCTTTCCTTGGTTCAGCTTAACCTCCAGTTAACAGCAGGAGCTTTAAATTCTTACTCCATTTCTTTCCCCGATTTCCTTATTTAGCAGCGTCTTTTCGTCATGCAGAATCTTTTCTGAAGTTTTTTCCTCCATATTTTGTCTTCACTTTAAACGTGTTATCCCTTGTTCATACCTTTCACTATGTTTTATTTTTGAGATTTTGAATTTTAGGATGATATAAATGGTAGCCTACTCATAAATTGCTTTGCTTCATTATAGTTTAAAAAAAAAAAAATATTGTAACCAAAATAAAACCTATACATTTTTCTCTGAAGTACATTTAACAAGCCATATTCAACTTGGAAAATGATACCATGACTGTCCTCTAACATATTGTTCCTAGTATGGAGCATAAATCTTCTGGAAAGATGAAGACTGCTTATAAACTGTGTGTTTACTTCTTATTTATATGAGAGTTTACAGAAATGTTGTAAACATAGAATCACAGAATGGTTTGGGTTGGAAAAGACATTAAAGATCATCTAGTTCCAGCCCCCTGCCATAGGCCAGGTTGCTCAAAGCACCATCCAACCTGGCCTTGGACACTGCCAGGGAGAGGGCAGGCACAGCTGCTCTGGACAACCTGTGCCAGTGTCTCACCACCCTCACAGGAAAGAATTTATTCCTAATATCTCATCTAAATCTTCCTTCTTCCAGTTTGCAACCATTACCCCTTGTCTTATCACTACCCTCCCTGATCAAGTGTCCCTCCCCACCTTCCCTGCAGGCCCCCTTTAAGCACTGGAAGGCCGCTATAAGGTGTCCCCAGAGCCTTCTCTTCTCCAGACTGAGCAACCCCAACTCTCTCAGCCTGCACTTTTGTACACAGAGCTCAAAAAATATCTTACACTAGCTTCATCTTCTTCCATCGCATAAAAAAATTTAAATCAGTTTTCCTTTGGTTGTATAAAGATTATACCTTCTTCAAAAAAATAAGCTTGACTCCAAGATAGAATTAATTTACATTTTTCAGCTGATGCATGGAGCAATGAGGTTTAGTTAACTTTTTGCCATGCCTACACGTTTGTGGTCTCTACAGACCAATGAAAATAAGCTATCATAATTGAACTAATCATTTGAAGGGCAATAATTACCAGTGAAGTTCACCGTCACAGAAGACACCTTCTGTGAGCTCAGCTCATTTGAAAAACAGGAATTGCTTCCACAGCCACAGCAGGATATTCCAGAACTCGGCATGCTAATTATGGAAGTTTCTCATAAGCAGAGATCATAGTGTTGAGGAGAATTCAGTCATCGGACAGATATTATTTGGTGTACTTAAATGGATAATGTTGGCCAAAAAGCAACTTGGCTTTCTCTGGTCCCCAAAACAAAATGTCCCTATTTTTAAAAGTCTACAAATAAGAAAGTTTTCCTTGCTTTAATTGCATAATATTGAAAAAATTTCTGTACAATGCAACAGGCATGTCTAGGAGGAAGAAATGCCGGGCTTATCGGTGTAGGGCACACTGAACCTGAGGAGTTTCCTTTCATAAAGAATAAAATTGTTTTTCTAAGGACACTACATTGTTAAAAAGACTTGGGCGATGCTTTGGAGGAAGACTAGGAAATACAGTGATAACAGGAGTAGAGAGAGACCTGTGCTAGAAGAATTCACAGGACCTCCAGTGCTGTAATTTCTTTTTCCCATCTTTGAGCAGCTGTCATGGCAGAGTGCAATTAAGTCTGTGCCTAATAACAGAAGTTTCTTGCAGATGAAGCTCTGAAATTATTTCTATTCCACTAGACAAATGTACTTTTGCAATGCCCAGCTGCTTCTGTATAAAGGATTAAATCTCCCCCATCTTGAGGGGAAATTCTTTCAATGAAAGCCTTAATACTCTGGCTCCTCAGGACACGCTCTGTTGTACATTGTGTATTCATTCCCGTAGGGGGTATCCCTTCAGAACATCAGTATCCTGAGGAAACACAAGAAAACCACATCCAAAACTTGCAATGCTTAACTGTCACTGGACTGTTTCTTGAGCTGTTCCTCTGTCATGGGCTTTCTGGAAGGTCACTCTCTTTATACAGAGCAGATATATTCAGAACTTCTGTTTCAGAGCTTACAATGCTTGTCACGTACATCTAATTAAAGACACACAAGCAACACTATTTTGTGAAAGCAGAGTTCACTGTGGCTCATGTTTCTCAAAGTTCCAAATGTTTTCTGTAAAAGGCAGTATAAAAACTCAAGAACACCAAGCTGTTCCAGCAAAATCACCAAGTACTACAAACAGTTTAGACAATGTATGTCATATCAATACAAATAGATCATGCCATTCACCCTCTTCACGTGAATGATCTGAAGAGGTTAAGACAGTGTAAAAGAAAGATCAGAATTTCAGGCTTTTCTATGTGTTTATAAAAGTAAATATTTTTTTTCCTGCAAGAGCAAAAGATTTTGAAATTTGGTTCAATGTTTCATTCTAAAAAAATCAGCACTTATTTCAAATTACTGATATTTTTCAGGATGTTTTAAAACAATTTTGCTTGGGTTTTTGTTTGTTTGTTTTAAGAAAAATTAAGGCTAGCACCTTGTACAGGCCAAATATACAATTGCCTTCACCATTTTCAGTTTTGCCATCAGCTCCTCTGACCGGGATGGGTTTGAGCACCACTCCGGTACCAATGTTCTTCCTCATAGTTTCAAGTTCCAATGATCCACACACAACAGAGTTACAAACCAATTCAAATTGTATTGCTTACCTGCCTCCCTCAAAACGATTGATGAGATCTGACACTTTACTGGACTTTTCCTTTGCAACACTAGAAACAGGGGTGGGTGTCTCTTCCTCCATTCTTTGTTTCTGATTTGATAAAGCTTTATGCCTAGGGGTTTGGTACGTAACAGGTGACACCTTCTGCAGATGAATTGGCTTTGGAGGCACTGCAAACAACAACAGTCAATCAATCACTCATGAACTGTTTCTTTGAACTGCTAGAACATATATGAGGTTTTTGCATAAGAACTTACAACAGTGATGTAGAAGAGATGCTCTTGGCTTTACTTTAAGATTAAAGCAGCTTTATGAATACAGGGATTTCATATAGCTTTTTATGCACTGTCTGGTATCAGGCCTCTTGTATTTCTCAGATAAAAGCTGAACCACACGCTACTTTAACGAGCTACAAAATTACGGGGTGTTCTTGTTTGTTTCTTTCTTTGTACTGTAATAAACACACATGTAGCCTCCATAAATGCAGGTCTTATCATAAAAAAGAATTAAGCATAACCAAAGGATCTAGCTTTGCTGTGGAGGTCAAGAGAGATATTTAAATTGCTGCCCCAAAACTCTGGTGCTCTCATTCTTTACCTTTTTCCTCATACCTTCAATAATAAGTCAGTGGAAAAGGTATTTACCTTCAGCTTTGAGCTTCTTTTACTCACTGATCCTATTTATACTGCTGAAAATCGTGCCCCCTGAAAATATTTTTTATTCTTCTTGCCTTTTCCCCTTCTCTACCATAAGTCCTTTTAATTAGATTGTTAATTATCAGCCACTGTTTGATACAGCAGTGACTAAAACACAAAAGACAAGGTGACACATAAAGCAACTAGAGTCGCAAGTGCTGGGGACCTTTAAATTAACTTTTATCCCTTTAAGTGACTATGCAGCATTTATGGGCAGCAAAAACACTTCACAGACAGGGCCTGAATGTGTCCCACTATCAGAACAATGCACCTCCAGCTCCATCAAAAAAAAAGATACAATGGAAATGTCCTTAATTCCTGAGAATACGACTTTGTTCATTCCCACACACACTACCAAAACTTATTGTGGGGACAAGTGAAAGCATTTGATATGAAATTGAAAAAGAAAGACTTTATGTGCGCTTTAATAAAAGGCGAACATAAATTGGCAAGAGTGGACAATGCTCTGCCAGTGGAATTGGCAGCCCCAGGGACTCGGCCACTGCTCCACAGACACCGGCCCTCCAGTAACCACACAGACCTGCCAGGGAGCAAACATGAAGGGAACGGAGACAGGAACTGGCATTAGGAATCACATGCAACTCTCACGGTAGAAAAATAATCACTAGTACAGGCTACACAATAGATGGATGTGAAAAGGCCATGTTCCTCACATCACTGACTCTAGAACAGCTTACTGACTTGCCCTGGAAAATCTGTGCACTGCAGGAATTAGCTTAAATCCCATCACTGACATTTGAAAGTGTTGTTGAAAAAATTATTGCAAATATACTATCAGAGACTATGATAAACTTGAAGGAACGTTTAATTAAGGGCAACTTTTCATCTCTACCTTACAGTAAATTTATAGGAGGTAATATTTATCTGTGCTTCCAATAACCTAATTACACTTGAGTGTAGTGATCGCTGCAGTCTGAAAAGTACGATGAGGGGCTCTGTGAAGAAATAAATGTGCCACAAAAAGCTTTAGACTTTAACCATATCAACTACAAATGCTGGCAAATCAGAGGGAGAAGGAAGAGAATTACTGTAGATTAGATGCTTTTACTATGTATATGTGTATCTTGGGCCCTTTCAAGCTTTATTTTGTGTTTATTAACACAAGCAAAAAAACAGGTTTGGGGAAGGGTGCAGTACAGAAAGGATGACTTAAAATACTACAATTTTCAAACAGTTACAGTCCAAACTTGAACTAAGCAGAGTATTAAATTGTGTAACAGCTTGAGTATCTGTACTAAGCGAAGCCCCTCCTGAGAAGCCGCATACATTTGCTCAGCTGCAGCTGCAGTGCGGTGCAGCAGCTTTCCCTATATTCCCTCTTCTTGGGGAGTTCAGAGAAGGCCTGGCAGAATTAGGCCAACGAGCATCAGATAATTGTCCAAGCGTTGAATAGCTTGCTGCGCTGACAAAGGCGATGGGACAGCTGAAAAAGGCGACACAAGCAGGCTGGGAAAAAGCAGGACACATAACTGAGCATGGGCACTGCCATTCCCTCGGGGAGGGGATGGAAGGGAAGTGGGATGCTGGGTAGATTTAGTGACCAGCACTATGCTAGTTTGTAGAAACACTTTTTGCTCTTGCAGTGCATTTTGTGTAACCCACGGTCCTGTGATTCTCTTCTTTAAAGAACCTGTATATCTCTTCAATTCTTTCGCACGTTTCATAAAGTATTAATATCCTTACAAGGATATATTAAAACTACTAAACTTGAGGGAATTAATGTCTACAAATAAAGCAGAAGGAATTAGTTGGAAGCTATTTTTATTCTGGATCCACTGGGACAAAAATACGATTCTAGGACATTCTGTGGAGGTGTCACACACTTTTGCAGCTATTACTGAAAACCCCCCAGCTTAGCATCACTTCACTAGGGCAAGCACAAGGAACCTCTGGTCAAACTGGACAATTCCAGTACATTGAAAATCCCTGTGATGTCTTCAGAAGAGAATCGCAAACCAAACAGCCATGCCAATTCACTAATGCGAGGTATTTTCTTCTTTACTCCCCATTACCATCTAATAGACAGTATTTCCCCTAATCAGCTGCTGCTGTAGCTACTGTAAGTTTTAGAAATAGAGCAATGGGAAAAGGACAGTCACAAGATCAATGAAAAGAATCAGTAGTGTAAAAACACCCGCAAACCTTCCTGTAAGGTCAACCTTGTTAACAGCGATTATGGAAAACAAATTCCATTAATTCTCCCCTCAATGTACTTCTGCAGTGTTTTATTTTAATCAGATTATTTTTGAATGTGTACACAGCAAGGATTTTAAAGGGAAAAAAAAAAAAACAAACAGAAAACACTAGCCTATTGTAATACCCTGCATAATACAGAGCTCTGTTTGAGTCTATAAATACTCTTGTATCTATATTGTAGAATTTTGAGGTCATTAGAAGATATGAACTGCATATTCTGCCCAAAGAAAACCTCTCAATATACTCAGGTAGCTGCTACTGCACAACGCTAGCCAAATACCTAATTAAGACTTAAGCTGCAGTGCCTAGTTTTGCATTCAACTTTGTACACATACATAAAGAAATGGGAGGTAATGTTACGAATGGCTCAAGAGGTGCAACAACATTTGCTGACTCCGAAGCATATTAGCAAAGATCGTTTATCTCTTCTCTTAGAAAGTATAATATGTTCAATCTCCCTCTACGCACTTAACTCCTGGTGGTTAAGAATGCTGCCACACTTTGATTCAATGAAAATACAGTTAAAATTCCTGTGGTAACCAACTGCACCTCTCCTGGCTGAGTCATCCTTCATCACCTCCTTGCATGGTCTGTCACCTTCAGGAGGATCAAATGAGGACAGCTAGACAGATACCAAAGATTTAAACTTGCAAGAACAGCACAAAATAACTAATAATGTAGACTCAGCAAAAAGACAGAAAAAGTCACCTCCCCTTCAGGATGCACATTTTCACACTTTTATGCCAAATCAGAACAAGTGTCTTCCAATAATACCTTAAGAAAGAAAACCAGTAACAGTCAGGTGTGCTTTGTTCCCTCATTTGTCTCCTTGCTGGAGACAATGTTTAGGATTTAGCAGATTCGTTGGTAAAAGAGACATTGCTACATGTTTCTTAAAGCACCACTGAGATTGGAGAAGTCTAGCTAGAAACAGCTCTCAGTTTTAGTTCAATTCACCTTTAATTGTAGAAGTTTCATTTGCCAGAAAAGTACAGTCTACATCACAGACCTTTCAGAGGTCTTTCAGCTTTTCTGGGCCCAGTGAAGACCTTCAAAACCACAGATTATGCTATAATTAACTGAGAAAGTAGGACAGGATTGATGTTATGCAGTAGATCATCAGCTAAAACTGACTGCTGAAGTCTATGTGTTAAAAGCTTTGTGTCCATACCATTTCACAGTAGCACAAACCAGTCCATCTTCTGGAGTGGAAAATCATCTCCAACCCAAACAAAAATGCCTCTTCAGCCTCAGCAGGAGATTCACAAGTACTCCTAAGCAACCACTCATTACAAAAATTTAGATGAGCAACTGATGCATAGTCTTGAACTGACAAGAAACTTCACTGCTTTGAAGAAGTGTGGACAATTCAACATATTTTCCATCCTACAATCAAACTGCCTGGTACAGACAACACTTTCAGTGTCCAGTACTTTGGCATCACATAAAACTCATGCAAGAAGTTCAGAGAGCAGGGCATAGAAGAAACTAGATAAAATGGTCAATTTATACATATTGGATTCTGTGCAGAAATGTATTCACCTGATCTAGCTACACCGAGTGATCTGTTTCCAGATATTTAAACTACTACTTGGAGACCAAGTACAGACAAAACAGGTTCAGGGTTCATTTTGAGTATGAGATTTTGGACATTTTTCTTCTATATTAAAGCTCTACTTCCTCTATTAAAGCAAAGTTTACTAAAAATAGCTGTACCTGACTTGTAACACAACCTCAAATATCCCCCATTTTAATTACATACATTTTTGTAGGTTAGATGAAGGTCATTTTGCAGTTAGTTCAACAACCAAATACACTGGCATTACAATTCAGGTCTGTCATCTTGTTTCCTTTCACTGTGAAAGGACATTTACTGTTTACATGACTAGAACAATCATTTGGAAAAACACTTCCTCTGCTATAAACCAAAAACGTTTCTGTACCTGTACATGAAAAGCTGTTAAAAAAAGAAGAAATCAGCAACCAAATTTAAACTAGTTCAGTTTGGTTTGATTGGATCATTAGGACTCCCACATACTTATTCATTCTATTTTGTTTTGCTTTAATTGAATAAAAAGGCCAAAAAGATGTGCTTCAATATGATGCACATATTTAACAGAAATAAATGGAGAAAGACATAGGCCTATGAACAAAGCATGCACAAAATACTATTTACAACAGTATTATTGAATATAATCTACACAGCTGCATTTCTTAGACTACAGCACTATTCCTGGCTATGACACATTTTGAAGCAATTTTGACAAACACAGAAGTCATGGGTAGGAAAGAGCAACAACAGCTGCCTAACTACTTGAATGAATGGGGTCCAATAACATCCAACTCCTAATTTATCTAACGGCTAAAATTTATAAGTGGCCTGGCTTTGGTTTTGAAAGGCTTAATTTTTTTTTTATTGCCCATTTCTGTTTCTCTATTAACAAGATTTCTAAAATATTTTTCTTGGGAAGATCACGTGTTCTGTTGTTGAGAATGCATTTCAGAGACCTAGGAACCAGTGCAGAAAGACTACTCAGATAAGTATTGTTTACATATGACTGATGAAAACATCTTAGTTTGGTGAACAATACTGGCAAAAGTTCTATAAAAACAAACAATACAAAAAAAATTATACAGCTTTATTTTGCTCTTATTCTCCCTAAGTAAACAAAACTTTCTTGACACCCCAACAAATTTCTTCCCTCCTTAACTCTAAGATGAACTCAGGACTAATGCAAAATTCTTCAAGATGCATTTTCCTATTAATTGATACACAGGTTGTTAAACCCACTACATGATGACTCTATGCAATTCTGGTTTCTATACATGATTTAGATGTGATCTAGTTTTCTACCAGTAATTCTAATTTCTGTCATATGAACAATGTGTCTCAGAATCCAATTCACTGAGCAGGATCATGATATCAGTCTTTTAAACTCACTCTTTTTAACTTCTGAGAGGAATGACGTTCCTATTGCTTGTCACTTCTAAAAGACATCAGTCCAGATTCGCTTTGAATCCAAGATTTCCAGAATATACTGACTCTGTTGTGATCAATCTTAGCAGAATCATCAGTATTACTGAGAAGTCCACATAAAAAGACGGTTTGAGGTTTAGATATCTAAAGTCAACAAGCAGATTGACTTGTTTAGCTTCCGAAAGTGAAGATATT